TATTGTTTTTTTAATTCTAGAAAAGGCAAACAAAGTCTGGAAAACATGAAAGTTGGCATGATGTCATTATATGGTTCCTATAAGTTGTGGTACAAGAATCAGTAGGATTTGTGAAAGTTGTGGCACACTGCTTGGAAGCTGGAACTATTCAAGGAATAATCATGGTTTCAAGTGTGATCGGGTCGAGTTTGAAGGAGAAGCGACCGCTGCTTCATAATTTGACCTAGAAACTTTTTGTAATATCAACATATACCATCACATGTTCCATGTCAGAATTTCATATCTATCGGGGTTTGTTTGCTATATCAATTCATTTAGTACATTTCTAGGTATTTAACATGTATCATGCAAATTTAAACTACACGTGCATGAAATAAGTTAGCAAAAATGGTTTTAAAAATCCTATTGGTGTTAAAGAATCTTGTTTAGGAAAATAAGTGGAATTGCCAAGACTCGACCAGGGACATAGAGCTTGTTAGTTTTTTAATCTATATCTATACCTACTAATAAAGCAAGGTGCGTTTCGCCGATTTTTTCATCCATTCACCGCTGAAAAGAATTTTTTTTCTATCCGAGGTGGTACTAAATTCCCATGTGTTTGTCTACTAGAAAAAGAACTTCTTACGTGGCCGCATGCTGTGGCCCAGCGAAGTCAGCCCAGTTATTTTCTGCCCACACAGCTTCCGCAATGGTCGACAAATAGACAGAATTTCGCATAGGACAACCAATAATGGGCTGGCCCATTTTTTTTCTGTGTCATACTTCTATTTTTATTCTCCTTTCCCTATCTCTTTTTTCTCTTACAAGTTTAATTTTCTTTTAGAATTTTATTTCATACATAAACAATTCTCAAAAAAACGTTCAGAATTAAAAAACAAATTTTGGAAAATGTTCAGAATTCCAAAATTTTGTTGCTATTTTGAAAAATATTCAGGACATGCAAAAAGTTGCCCGTTTTTCAAAAAAATTCGAGATTTCTAAAAAGAAAATGGCATTTCAAAAAGTGCTCAAAATTCAAAAAATATTCTTGACCTACTTTTCTTTTTGAAATGGAACACCCCGATTCCATAAATCACTCTGGCACAGCAAACCCGCTGGCCCTCCGAACGTTTACATCATCTGGCAGATCATCAAGCCAAAATTGCCGAGAGATCAGCTGGTTGGACCCAAAGGCCGCTAAAGTGTGCGCTAACTTATTACATGCCCGAGGGGCAAAACTGAAAGAAATATGAGTATAGTTTAAAAACGCAAAGGCTCGGATCTCCCGGAATAGAACTCATTCACGTGCTAGGTCAGCCTCCGTTCCATTAACAGCTTTTATTAATTCCTGACAATCCGATTCAATTTCAATATTGGTCATGACCATCGGGCTGTACCTCGGCCTCCAAAATAGAAGTATTCTAGAAGTATTTCGCCTTGAGTACGCGTGCACACAATGAATCAGGGTGCATCAACATTCGCCACCCCTGTCTCGCAAGCATAGCCATATTGAAATCGTATATGTCTCTGAATCCCATACCTCCCTCCTTCGGTTTGGTCAAGAGCTCCCAACTCAGCCAGTGCATAGTGTTCGTCTTCTCTTGTTTTGCCCATCAAAATCTATAAATCATCTTGCCAATCTCTTCACATAGGGATTTTGTAAGATCAAAACAGGACATAGCAAAGGTAGGAATGACCTGCGCACACGATTTTATCAGCACATCCTTACCCATCTTGGACAACAACCTTTCCTGCCACCCTTGAATCAATTTCCAGATCCGATCCTTCAAATACTCAAACACTTGTTTTCGAGCTTGTCACACATAGACCGGAAGGCCTAAATATCTCTCTGTGCGCGCTTCTGATTTAATGTTGAGTGCATCCAGAACTTCCTTTCTCTGACCCGCCTTGGTGTTCTTAGTTGACAACTTGTGCCGAGCAAGCCTCATACAGATTTAATACATTTTGCAGCGACGTAGCACTCTCACGCGAAGCTTTAATGAGTATTAGAGAGTCGTCCGCAAACAGTAGATGGTTGAATCTCGGGGCCGTATTGCAAATATGAATGCCTTCCAGTATTCCATCCATTTATGCTCTGTTCAACAAGGATGAAAACCCCTCTGCACAAATCAAAAAAAGATACGGAAATAGTTGGTCTCCCTAGCGCAAACCCCTTTGCGGCATAATCACATCCGTGTAATCCCCATTTACCTTGAACTTGTAGGACACTGAGGTCACACATAACATAATCCTGCTAATCCAAACTTCCCGGAATCCTCTCTAGAAATTGCCACTCGACACGGTCATAAGCTTTACTCATGTCAAACTTCACTGCAGCAAATCCCTCCTTACCCCCTCGTTTGTTTTGCATATAATGTGTGCACTCATATGCCAGCAAGATGTTATCTGTGATTAACCTACCTGGCACAAAAGCACTCTGATTTGGTGAGATAATGTCTGGTAAGATAGTTTTTAATCTATTCGCCGAGACCTTTGAAACGAGCTTGTATACGACATTGCATAAGCTTATAGGCCTCAAATCCTTCATACACTCAGGATTCTTGACCTTGGGAATCAGCACCACACACGTATCATTCCATCCCTCCGGCATTGGTCCTCCATTCAGCACACACAAAACATCCTCAACCACTTTGTCTCCGACAATATCCCAACATCTTTTATAGAAAACCGAGGGCATTCCATCTGGACTAGGGGCTTTGAGGTCTCCAATACTTTGCAAAGCATCATACACTTCTTCCCTAGTAAGCTCCTTTTCAAGAGCATCATTCATTTGGGGTGTAACACGTGATTAAATATGACCAAGAAGTTCGTCTTGGCGTGTACTTGCATGGGAAGTAAAAAAGATTTAAAAAATAGTTAGTGACTACTTTCTTCATCTCCTCTATCTTTTCTACTACATTCCCACCATCCTCCTGATTATATTCTTCCTCCTTCTCTCCAAGGCCGCAACATGGAAAAAATTTGTATTTCTATCTCCCATTTCATCCAATGAACATGCGCCCGTTGCTTCCAAAATGTCTCCCTCTGCTCTTCCAACCGGCCAGAGTGTGTTTCGCCAATTTTTTCATCCGTTCACCGCCTAAAAAAAAAATAATCTATCTGAGGTGGTACTAAATTCTTATGTGTTTGTCTACCAAAAAAAGAATTTTCGTACATGGGCTGCGCACTGTGGCCCAGCGAAGCCAGCCCACTTATTTTTCTGCCCAAGCAGCTGGAAATTTTTTATTTTCCGCACAGGACGATAAGTAGTCAGAATTTCGCACAGGACAACCAATAATGGGCTGGCCCATTTTTTCTGTGTCTTACTTCTATTTTTATTCTAATTTCCCTATATCTTTTTTATCTTACAAGTTTATTTTTAAGAATATATTTCGTAAATTAAAAATTCTCAAAAAATGTTCAGAACTAAAAATAAAATTGGAAAATGTTTAGGATTCCAAAATTTTGTTGCTATTTCGAAAAATATTCAGAACTTGCAAAAGGTTGCTCCATTTTTCAGAAAAAATACTTTTTTCAAAATTGTTCGAGATTTCTAAAAAGAAAGCATTTCAAAAAATGCCCAAAATCTGAAAGATATACTTGTTTTAGTGAAATTTCCAAAATTAAAAATAATGTTCATGTATAAAATATACACATTTTCTATAAATCTTATGAGTTTTCAACACATATTACCGTTTTTAAAAATGTTCACAAATTTAAATAATGCTCATGCTTTTATAAAAAAAGTTCGTGTTTTCAGAAAATATTTGTGAACTCTAAAGATGTTCCCTTTCATATTTTCTTCGCATTTTTTAGAAAGTGTAGATAATTTTAAAAAAATTATTCAGGATTTAAAAAATTGTCCATGTTTCATAGAATATTCAGAAACTTCATACCTTACAATCCTCTCGATTGAAAGTATTGAAAGGAAAAGTAGCTTGAAGAACTCATGGGCCTTCTCTAGCGTACAATAACGTAACAAAACTCTTAAATGCCCTCGATCAATATATGGAAAAATAGCAGATTGATTCCTTCACGCGGCGAAACCGAGGAGCTAAATATTCTTTTTCTTGTGCACACATGGTTTTGCTTGCACATATAATTCTCACTGACTTTAAATGCATACTATTTTATCTCCCGTTGCAACGCACGGACATATGTGCTATTTCTAGAAAATGCAAACAATGTCTGGAAATATGAAAGTTAGCATGGTGTGATTGTATGATCCCTAGAGGTTGTGATGAAAATTGAAGAAGGATTCACAAAAGTGGTGACGTACACAGCTTGGAAACCAGAATTATTCGAGGAAGAATCATGGTTTTGAGAGTAGATGAGTTGGGTTTGAAGGCAAAGCGACGACTACATTGTTTGATCTTGAGATATTTTGTAGTATCTGCATACACCATCAGATGTTCCATGCCAGAATTGGGCGTTAGTTGTCTAGTCTTAAGTCATTTAGCGGGTTTCTAGTCTTTTAATTGATACCCCCTCTGTTGCAAAATAAGTGTTGTGGTTTTAGTTCAAGTTTAAATTTGAAATAAAATTACGACACTTATTTTGGAATGGAGGTAGTATAATTAAATTGAACTGTGGTTGCATGAGAAAAATGCAAAACTGGTATGAAATTTCCTATTTGTTTAAATGAATCTATGTTTAGGCCATATTCAAGAAAAATAGAGGGATTTTAAACATCAGAGTGCCAAGACTCACTTTACATGGAGCTTATTGGTTTTTTTAATTCTAAAAACACAAACCAAGTCTGTAAATATGAAACCAGGGATGGTGTCATTATATGTCCGGTGCTCCCTTCGTTTCTTCTCTTTTGATGCACAGCGACTCGTCTCGGGACTCAGCCGTGCTGCGTAGGAAGTCAAAGATCAGAGTGAATTCAGTGCGGGAGTGGGGGCTGTATTTACTTGTGTTGTTGGGAGCTAGGAGTGCTGCTATCACTAGTACACTAGTGCTTGTGTTCTCGTCCTCTTCCTTTGCTTTTCTTTTGGCGACGGCGGCGGCCACCGGCCATGGACGATGCGGCGGCGGCGGCGGCGGCTGCCGCATCCAAGAAGCGGAGGCGGGATGTGCCAGCGCCGCGGGATCCTCCCGCGAGCAGGGAGGGTGCCGTGGTTTGAAGGCGAAGCGATCGCTGCTTAATCATTTGACCTACAAAACTTTTTTTGGTATCAACATATACAATCACATGTTCCACGTCTGAATTTCATATTTGTCGGGGTTCGTTTGCTATACTAATTCATTTAGTGCATTTCTAGGTATTTAAAAGGTACCATTCAAATTTAACCTGTGGGTGCATGAAAAACGTTAGCAAAAGTGGTTTAAAAATCCCATTGGTGTTAATGAATCTTGTTTATGAAAATAAGTGGAATTCCAGACATCAGTGTACCAAGACTCAACCAGGGACATAGAGCTCATTAGTTTTTTAACTCTAGAAACGGCAAACAAAGTCTGGAAATATGAAAGTTAGCATGGTGTGATTGTATGATCCCTAGAGGTTGTGATAAAAGTTGAAGAACGATTCGCAAAAGTTGCGACGCACACAGCTTGGAAACCAGAATTATTCGAGGAGGAATCATGTGTTTGAGAGTGAACGAGTTGGGTTTGAAGGCGAAGCGGCGGCTACTTCATCATTTGATCTTGAGACTTTTGTAGTATCAACATACACCATCAGATGTTTCATGCCAGAATTTGGTTTTTTTTGGGTTAGTTGTCTAGTCTTAAGTCATTTAGCACTTTTCTAGCCTTCTAATTGATACTTCCTCCGTTCCAAAATAAGTGTTGTGGCTTTAGTTTAAGTTTAAAGTTGTACTAAAACAGACATTTATCATGGAATGAAGGGAGTATAATTCAAATTTGAACTGTGGATATATGAGAAAATTGGCAAAAGTGGTATGAAACATCCTACTTGTGTAACACTAGTAGAAAAGGGGGCAATGGTCCAGGCCGGGTCAGTCCATTAGTCCCGGTTCAATCCAGAACCGGGACCAATGGGGGCATTGGACCCGGTTCGTGAGCCCCGGGGGCCGGCCGGGCCACGTGGGCCATTGGTCCCGGTTCGGCTGGACCTATTGGTTCCGGTTGGTGGGACGAACCGGGACCAATGCGCCTCGCTCCTGGCCCACCACCATTGGTCCCGGTTGGTGGCGTGAACCAGGACCAAAGGCTGCCTTTTAGTCCCGGTTCGTGGCACGAACCGGGACCAATTAGTTGCCTATATCTACCCCTCGCCCGCGAGCAGAGCACTCCCAGTGCTCTGTTTTTCGTGGCCGGCGAGGGGAGAGCTTTGTGGTGCTCTAGCTCACCCCCTATGCACACGAGGTGTTCGATGGAATGCCCGAGCCACACTACTTAAGCTTTCTCCTCTCCAAGCTCGACCTCCAAGCTCCATTTTCATCAATATTTGTCTAGGTTTAGCGGTCCGTCACGTCCCGTCCCCGTCTTCACCGCCGTCGATCGCCCACGCCGATCTCGTCGCCGGCACCACCGTGGTGAGCCCCTTGTTCTTATCTTCTTTCTGAAAGGAAAAAATAATTCTTACTTGTATATTTATATAGATACTTGTATAATTTTCTTACTTTTATTATTGCATCTTATATAATGCGATGGTTTTGGTATCCGCCCCCGTCGGCCCTCGTCCTGTCTATCATTCGGATGTGGTATATATTATCTTTTCATAACTATTGGTTCATTTATTGTTTATGACCATTATGCCGACCAACGTGACATAGATTTTATTTATCTAGGAGGTTGTTGAACCGGAAATTCCAACCGACCCTATTGTCGAGAGGTTAAATTTAGTTGAAGAAGAAAACAATTTGTTGAAGGAAAAAATTAGAAAAATTGAGGAGGAGAAGATGATATTGGAGTTGTATGTTGCGGATGTCGTCGATGATCACAAGATCAAGATGGATGCAATGCGCTTGAAGATTAGAAAGACTAGAAAATATGCCATTCATACCGAGGCTTGGTATCATTATGCCGTTGGATCAGTTGTTACATTGGTTGCGATTATGATCGCATTTATTTTCGCATTGAAATGTTTTACATAGTTTCAGTGTATGGTTTAATTAATTTAGATGCTCTGCAGAGCTTTATGTTGTTAGATGAGAACTATGTATGTACTTTGGTTTTAATGTGATGATGAACTTCTATTAATTTGGCCACTTAATTATCTATTCATGATGTTCTGTAATGATTTTTGACACACTTAATTATATATAATGCACGCAGATGAACCGACAATGGATGTACGGTTCAAGACACACCTCCGAGTACATTAAGGGCGTGCATGATTTTCTCAAAGTGGCTGAGGCAAACAAGCAGAATGGTTTTATGTGTTGTCCATGCCCTATATGTGGGAATACGAAGTCTTACTCTGACCGGAAAAATCCTCCACATCCACCTGCTTTACAAGGGTTTCATGCCACACTATAATGTTTGGACGAGGCACGGAGAAATAAGGGTTATGATGGAAGACGGCGAAGAAGAAGAGTACGATGACAACTATGTGCCCCCTGAATACGGTGATGCTACTGAACATCAAGAGGAACCAGACGATGTGCACGATGATGCTGCAACGGGCGAAGCTGCTGAAGATCAAGAGGAACAAGACGATGTACCCGATGATGATGATCTCCGCCAGGTCATTGTCGATGCAAGGACGCAATGCGAAAGTCAAAAGGAGAAGCTGAAGTTCGATCGCACGTTAGAGGACCACAAAAAAGGGTTGTACCCCAATTGCGAAGATGGCAACTCAAAGCTCGGTACCGTACTGGAATTGCTGCAGTGGAAGGCAGAGAATGCTGTGCCTGACAAAGGATTTGAGAAGCTACTGAAAATATTGAAGAAGAAGCTTCCAAAGGATAACGAATTGTCCGACAGTACATACGCAGCAAAGAAGGTCGTATGCCCTCTAGGATTGGAGGTGCAGAAGGTACATGCATGCCCTAATGACTGCATCCTCTTTCGCGGTGCGTACAAGGATCTGAACGCATGCCCGGTATGCGGTGCATTACGGTATAAGATTAGACGAGATGACCCTAGTGATGTTGACGGTGAGCCCCCCAAGAAGAGGGTTCCTGCGAAGGTGATGTGGTATGCTCCTATAATACCACGGTTGAAACGTCTGTTCAGAAATAGAGAGCATGCCAAGTTGATGCGATGGCACAGTGAGGACCGTAAGAAAGACGGGAAGTTGAGAGCACCCGCTGACGGGTCGCAGTGGAGAAAAATCGAGAGAAAGTACTGGGATGAGTTTGCAAGTGAGCCAAGGAACGTATGGTTTGCTTTAAGCGCGGATGGCATTAATCCTTTCGGGGAGCAAAGCAGCAATCACAACACCTGGCCCGTGACTCTATGTATGTATAACTTTCCTCCTTGGATGTGCATGAAGCGGAAGTTCATTATGATGCCAGTTCTCATCCAAGGCCCTAAGCAAGCCGGCAACGACATTGATGTGTACCTAAGGCCATTAGTTGAAGAACTTTTACAGCTGTGGAATGGAAACGGTGTACGTACATGGGATGAGCATAAATAGAAGGAATTTAACCTAAAGGCGTTGCTATTCATGACCATCAACGATTGGCCCGCTCTCAGTAACCTTTCAGGACAGACAAACAAGGGATACCACGCATGCACGCACTATTTACTTGACACCGATAGTATATACCTGGCAAGCTGCAGGAAGAATGTGTACCTGGGCCATCGTCAATTTCTTCCGACCAACCATCAATGTCGAAAGAAAGGCAAGCATTTCAAAGGCGAGGCAGATCACCGGAAGAAGCCCGCCATGCGTACCGGTGATCACGTACTTGCTATGGTCAATGATTTACACGTAATCTTTGGAAAGGGTCCCGGCGGACTAGCTGTTCCGAGTGACGCTGGGGGACACGCACCCATGTGGAAGAAGAAATCTATACTTTGGGACCTACCCTACTGGAAAGACCTAGAGGTCCGCTCTTCGATCGACGTGATGCACGTGACGAAGAACCTTTGCGTGAACCTTCTAGGCTTCTTGGGCGTGTATGGGAAGACAAAAGATACAGCTGATGCATGGGAGGACCTACAACGTTTGCACGAAAAAGACGGCATGCCTCCAAAGCAGTATGAAGGTCCTGCCAGCTATGCTCTTACCAAAGAAAGAAGAAAATCTTCTTTGAATGCCTGCTTAGTATGAAGGTCCCGACTGGCTTCTCGTCTAATATAAAAGGAATAATAAATATGGCAGAGAAAAAGTTTCAGAACCTAAAGTCTCATAACTGCCACGTGATTATTGTTGGGTTTCGTAGTAATTTCAAAAATTTTCCTACGCGCACACAGGATCATGTGATGCATAGCAACGAGAGGAGAGTGTTGTCTACGTACCCAACGCAGACCGACTGCGGAAGCAATGACACGACGTGGAGGAAGTAGTCGTACGTCTTCACGATCCAACCGATCAAGCACCGAAACTACGGCACCTCCGAGTTCGAGCACACGTTCAGCTCGATGACGATCCCCGGACTCCGATCCAGCAAAGTGTCGGGGAAGAGTTTCGTCAGCACGACGGCGTGGTGACGATCTTGATGAACTACAGCAGCAGGGCTTCGCCTAAACTCCGCTACAGTATTATCGAGGAATATGGTGGCAGGGGGCACCGCACACGGCTAAGGAATCGATCACGTGGATCAACTTGTGTCAACTTGTGTGTTTAGAGGTGCCCCTGCCTCCGTATATAAAGGAGCCAAGGGGGGAGGGTGCGCCGGCCAAGAGGGAGAGGCGCAGGAGGAGTCCTACTCCTACCGGGAGTAGGACTCCCCCCCCCAATCCTATTCCAACTAGGATTCCCAAGGGGGAAAGAGGGAGAAGGGTGGCCGGCCACCTCTCCTAGTCCTAATAGGACTAGGGGAAGGGGGGAGGCGCGCAGCCCTGGTGGGCAGCCCTTTCACCTTTCCACTAAGGCCCATGAAGGCCCATATGGTTCCCGGGGGGTTCCGGTAACCTCCCGGTAACCCGGTAAAATCCCGATTTCACCCGGAACACTTCCGATGTCCAAACATAGGCTTCCAATATATCAATCTT